GATTGTCAAAAAGCCTGTGTTTTTAGGGTTATTAACGAAGTTTGTGTACTCAGACCAGTAATATTTGGGGTTACGAGTTTTGCCATGGATATTTTGTGGGTCAGAAGATAAAAAGTTTGGGAACCACTGCTCTAACCCACACAATCAACTTCTAAAATCAATATATTTTAGATCTATACAAATATCAAAATGTTACGATCGCAGCACTTCTTTAAAACAAACTTATTTATTTGAGGCAGAGAAAGATCCACATGAACAAAGCAGACTTTTCCAAAATAATATATTTTTGCAAACTGAAAATATAGAACATTTCTAGTAACAGTAGTTTCAAAACGCACATTGTGGACACAAATATATTAAAAACAAAAAAAAAAATACTAAATTAAAAAAAATTGATTCACTTTGCAGCAAAAACAGTCAGCTGTAAACACGTTGATCACTCTTTTTCCTGTCCCTCCAGTTTTTAACACCTTGTTTAGGTGGGTACAACAACAGCTCCGTCTGCAGGTGTCGTGGGAGGGGAGGGGCTTTTCACAGGTAAAGGATCCCCAGGAGCCACCAGGACCACAAGGTTCTCCTTCTTTGGCAGCCAGACCGCCGGATACAACGGTTCCCGGAACTCCGTCTCGTACTTGTGGATGAGCGTCATGGTTTTATCCACGCTGTAGAAAGCGATGAGGCCCCGGGCGTAGTCCACGTAGACCCCGATCCTCGTGATCCTGTCCACGTTCAGCGGGGTCTCCACGCCGCTGTGCCAGGCCGAGAAGGCGCGGCCGTTCCACTGGAGGCACCAGGAGAAGTCGTTGCCCGTGATGCAGCTGTGGCCCCCGCTGCCCTTGCGGTCGATGCTCTTGTAGGTCAGGCCGACGTGCGCGCCGTCGCCGCTGACGTCCGCCTCGAAGTAGTGCCGGTTCAGGTAGAAGCTCTCGGCGGCCAGAACCTGGCGGCAGCTCTCGAAGCGCTCGGGCACGTCGGGGTACGGGTGCTGCCAGGGCGTGGTGTTGGTCACCTTCCTGTTGTCCTCGGTCAGCCGCAGGAACTTGTGAGCCGTGTCGGGGTCGAAACTCACCTGGGCGGCGTCTGCGGAGGATCGGCCCAACGCGTCGGTCAGGTTGCATGAGAGAGGAGAGCAAACAGAACAGAGTTTAGTTTCTGTTTGTTTTCTAGGTTTGTGCAACAAAAAGTTCCGAAACCCAACCCTCAACCACAGCTGCTGTCGAGCAGTCACTGAAAAACACCACAAACAGGACGAGAACAACACACTCATCCCATATTAGTCTTTTAGAGGGGAGGGGGGATTATGTGTTTTTCCAGGCAGAATCAACTAACTGTTACCTTCAATTGTTATGAAAATGCTGTTTACATCAAAAATAACTGACTTTGCATCACAGTCTATCTACATGGAATTGGCCTCCGTTTCTTTAAAGTGTATCTTA